CAAATCAAATGTATCTCTATTTTTTTTTTAACATCCTCCCAATGCGAATCTGGAAAGTTAAACAGTAGAAATAATGCAAGAAAAAAGACGGATGAATGAAGACAACCAATAGAAAAACTTGAAAGAGAACGTGAAGGAAATATTATTCAAATACGTAGAAAAACGAGAAGACAGAAGATAAAACGGGATTTGAAAGGAATGAAATTAAAGAAAATAATTTCTATAGGAAAAAATAAGAAAGCATAATAAAAATCAAAATCAACGTCCTTTTTTAAAAACGGAAATCTCAAAGCAATTTCTTTTGTTTAGTTTTCAATGATTCATCGAGAATACGTTGTTTGTGTCATCAGAGAATTAGAATACAAGAATAAGCAGAATTAAAATATGAATAAGAATGGGAATATGAGAAAAATCGCCTATCATGAGAAATGTTTGCTATAAAAATATAAATTGTGATATTATTGTAATTATTGGCCAATTAATCCTGGGCTTTGAGACCGATTGTTCAAGCGAATAGGAAAACATGAAAAATGACCAGAAATTAATAGAAAACATTAGATTAAGAATAGAAATGCAAACAGTAATGTAAAAAAATAAATCGAAATTTAATTTGCTCTTAATTTGCGTTTGAGTGCTGTTTTTGTTCTAAACACAGAAAACGAAATGTAAAAGAAGAAATAAAAACGAATGCGTATAAAATCGTACACATAAAACTAGGAATGTGAATCGAACGAACACGATTAAGAAAATAGATTTCTAAACCGTAACGAAGGTGACAATAAACCAGATTTAATTTGAATAAGTTTCTTGATCCTTGTGATTTTATCACACCTCATCACTCTCTCTTTACAAGCAAAAGAAGAGTAATGGTTAGAATATCTTTTAATTTCCTTTGGAAGATCAACGAACGAGCGATATCAGAAGAAGAGGCACATCTCACAGTGGATCAAAGAAAAGAAAATTCTTTTAGAATGAGTTTGAATGTGACAAATAAGTAATGGTTAAATACAGGATTCATTTCCAAGACTTCCGGTACGTAACCGAATGTAACAAACATTTTTAAAAAAGGCAGACTGTACAGCTTCTGTAATTTCAAAGAAGAAAAAGACTGATTTGAAATAACTAATGTATATTAAGAATAAGGCCTCGTATCAGATATACAGATAAAATGGAAAATGAAGGACTTTTTTGAAATATTCAAACAGGGAAAGATAATAAACCAAACATATCAGATGTGTCAAAAAATAAATAAATAATTAAATAAATAAATAAAAACAATTCTTTTATTGATTTTGTTTCAACGAGTTGAAAAACGTCTTGGAGAGATTTATTAAAGGAAATCTTACCAGATTATATTAAAAGATCTTTGAAGGAGATTTTATTTGATTTATGTCAAATATATTTACTGGTAACTTTCAAATTATTTCCTGAAAAGAAAAGTGCCAAAATTAAGTACCTAAAGAAAAGTAATTGCTCTTAGATAATAAATACATTACTGAACGTTTTTCTTTTGTAAAACAAAGCGACGTAAGAGATTTGAAGGTCCCCTTCTGCCCTAAACATTCCGTCTTTGAAAAAAGCTCAAAGACGAAATAAAGCGATTCCAAACATTATTCAGGTAAAAACCTGAAGTTAAGAAAGATAAAACAAAAAAAAACCTATTGCATTGAATTATTTTTCAAACATAATTTTTTTGTGAGTGAAGCATTTCTGATCAAATATTTGTTGATAGCTTGAATTGTGTGTGTTTTTTTTTTAAATTCTTCCCAGTTTATTCATAGTAAACTTTCACTTAACTAAAATTTTACGCAAACGACAAAAACGTTAAATTAGAAGCCATTTTCCTTCCCTTTTTTGTGTATAATTCTAGTTCTCCCCAAGGATTATTTTTTTTATTCCATTTTGAAAGAAAATATTTGGTATTTGGTCCGTCTCAATTGAGATCTAATATAACAACATAGCTTTTTAAATTTAAGCCCAGAAATGTGTTTTGTTTTGGTACTGGTCATCCACTCCCTGCCACCACGTCAACCGAAGGAACACAGGACATTTTTTAATGTCTATAATTGACAACGTTGTGTCTGGAGAATTATTTTACAAAACTCATATTAAAAAAGTGAATTGATTTTATTTTCTGGTTTTGTCGACAGTACAAAAAGGTCTTTAACATAAGAATAGATGTGAGTAACTTATATTTCTTAAAGCAAAAGCTGTTTCTAGCCTCAGTGTATTTATTTCATTTTAAGTGTCCTTCGTTTAAACCGAAAATCAAATTTAATGTTTCTTTTATAACATCGTCTGTTTATTTCATTGCTATATGATGCAAGTATACTTATACAAACACACCATCACGACCCCAATAATATATATATATATATATATATATATATATATATATATATGTAATGTATGTATAGAAATGTAAAAGGAAGTCTGTAAACAGTCACGCCTGAAATAAGGTATAGACAAGAAAAAAGTGCTCAATAGAAAATTCAAAATCGAATATGTAGAGCTAAGATATTTAAGAAAAAGACTAAAATGATAACCAAACTCACAACCTGGGTTTCGACGGATGAGGGAAACAAAATAATACTTTTTTACTCCCTTTTTCCCTGACTTCCAATTTTTTCTATTTTTTTTCCCTCTTTAAATCACTTACACCCAACTCTCGCCTCCCTCATCCTCATACTATTACCCTCTCACTTCCGGTGTTCCAGTATATTGAAGTAGCTTTCTTTTCGATAGTGAGGACTCCTCAGGCAAGTGGAAGGATACTGAATTCGAGGTTGGTTGACATTTTAGCCTTTTCTTAAATATATACATATATATATATATATATATATAGTGTTGACCAAATAAATGGTTAAAAAATAACAAAATAAGTGTTACAGATATATCATATATTAAACAGTAAGTACAACAGAAGAGTATTACACGACTAGTGAGTGTGTGTCGGATGACCCAGCGTTCAATCTATTTGACTGTTAATATCTACAAGCCCTTCCCCAACCCCCACGAGGGTAGATGTGGCACAAGGCCGAGTTTAACGTGGTCATCCGAGTCCGTAGGCTGTGTCAAAAATTCCCCGTAACCCCGCATAAACGGTATCGGGTCTGTCTAACTCCTCGGACGAGACTCTGCCCTTAGGCATAGCCTCATCCGGGTTCCTCTCTGTCCAAAGGCAGACAGTTCGACAGCAGCTGTGAAAAGTCAGAGCCTCGGTAGAACAATCTATTAGATCGTTCCCCCAAGGCCATGTCTCTTCCTAGTAGGTGGAAGAATCCAACATTGACACTTTAGAGGGAGGAGACACCACAACACACACACACACACGCATAAAATTATTATTATTATTATTTGTATGAGATTATAATAAAAGCAAGAGGAACTCGCCGCATGTTCCAATACATAATGAAATTTTTTGTGTAGTGATTTCAACTTGTTTCATTATAACCCCTTATAATAAAAATATAATAATATATTGCTCTACTTTGTATTGAGCAGTTTTTTAAAAGTAAGTGCAACGAACAGTGGTATTTTTACTCCATCTGTTCTTTTTTCTCATTTTATATATATATATATATATATATATATATATATATATATATATATATATATATATATATATATAGATTCATTTCTGTAGTTTACTGCTACCAGCAAGCAGAAATATTTCTCCTCCCGATGATGGCCATTTTGGGCCGAAACTAGTCGAGCAATCTAAATGAAATAATAATAACAATAAAAAAAACGAAAGAATATTAATCTACAACCCAGTGTGTCTGAAGATTTTAATTTTTTAATATTTTTTTATTGTTCAATATATATCGACGCGTTTCGTCTTCCGACTTTTTAACGGCAAAAATGAAATCGGAATGTTTTTTATTGTTATAATTGCATTAAAAAATCCAATTTTAAAAAGGAGAGAGACGCTTCTGCGTAAGACATTTTCTCTTTTTTAAATTTGGATTTTTTAATCTAATTGATCTCTTTAGCTCTGTAGAAATGATAATCACTCTTTTTGTTGTGACCTCCTCATCCAGTTTTTCTCACTACTGTTCCTTATTTTTTTAAAACTTGTTAACCGTTCTCTTGGTGGTTCTTGAATAGAAATTGAAGATAGAAGCCAGAATATGAATATTGGTACCATTACTGAAGAACAGAATGATCATTTTCCTCTCACCATTGCTCATTTGGGAAGGCAGTGTGTCTGACGCAAAACGATTTTAACCTGTTATCTTCGTAGCTGAATAACTAAAAGAGTTTTTCGTTGATTCTTACGACAAGTTGTGTGAAGATGGCTAAACGTCTGAAAACCTGGAAAAAAGAAACTCAATTAATTGGGTGTTGTTTATAGATATTAAACATTTTGCGGGATCGATAATTATGCTGTTACACGATTTTAACAATGATGCTGTTATACCCGATATATATATATATGTGTTTATATATATATATATATATATATATATATATATATATATATATATGTATGTGTGTGTGTGTGTGTGTGTGTGTTTGTGATTCCAGGCATTACTGTAAATCAGTTGGCAAATGTTTTTCGTGAACTGCAAAGATGTATTACCCTTTGTATTGCTAATGATGGAGGACATGTGGAAAATTTCAATAAAAACCTTAAAAATATAGATTTACTTTTTTCTAATCCTTTCTACAAATTATTTCTATCGCAAATACAAATAAAGTTATAAACTTTTAAAAGTGCACACGAACTTTATGGACACCTGGTATATATATATATATATATATATATATATATATATATATATATATATATATATAAGAAAGAAGAGGAAGAGGAGGAAGAAGTAGAAGTTGAAGAAGATGAGGAGAAGGAGAAAGAAGAAAAATATAATTCGAGTATCTTATGGTGTTTTATTTCAGATACGAAAATGCAAAGGCAATACCTTTGCAATTTGACTATATACTCAAGGTTGTTAGCTGAGAGAAGATTTTGCATCTTAATATTAGGAAACATCGCCTCAGTCAGGGATTAGGCTTATGCATGAAGAGATGTTGTAATGTTCGAGATATGACGGGAGGAAGGAAGTGAAACGGTAAATATAAGAAAGAGAAAAAGGAAAGTAAGGGAGAAAGCGTAATGAAAAGAAAGAGAAAAAGTAAGAAAGCAAAGAAAACAACGAAAGAATGAAACAGAAGAAGAAGAAGAAGAAGAAGAAGAAGAAGAAGAAAACGAAATGTAAAGAAAAAGAAAGTAAAATAAGCAAAGAAAGAACGAAAAATAGATAAAAATGGGATAGGAAATAATGAAAAAAGAAGAAAGAAAGAAAGGAAAAAGAAAATCGAAGAGATAGAAAAAGAGACTAAATAAGTATAAAAAAAAAGAAAGAAAAATTACAGAGAAATAAAGAAAGATAGAAATGACTAGAAAAAAGAAAGGAAAAATTAAAGTACAGCGTAAGAAAAAAAGGAAGGAAAAAGAAAATAAATTGAAAGAATAAATAAAGATAAAAAAGAGCGAACGAACGAAAGAAAGAAAAAAAGTGAAATGAAAAGAAAAAAAGAAAATATAGAGAAAAAGAAAAGGGAAAACTGAAAAAAAGAAAAGGAATGTAAAAGTTAGAAATGAAAAAATGCAAATACTGAGAAAAAAAGGAAGAAAAAACTGTAAAAGAAAGAAAGAAACGATAATAAAAAATAAAAAAAAACAATGAGAAAACTGAAAACTAAAAACTTGTATAAAAAAGAAAGAAATTCACAGAGGGAAAGAGAGAAAAACGAAACAAGAAAAAAAAGCAAAAAGACAATATAAAAACAAAACAAAACAAAAAACACTGATAAAATATGTAAAGCTGAGAAAAAAAAGACAAAACAGTATATTAGAGAAAAAGCAAGTTAGGATCGAAGAATATTATCGATAAATAAAAGGAAGTGATTTTGGAATTGGAAATAAAAGAACGTAGAAGATAATGTCAGACATCAAGGAACAATGGCGCTAAATGCGAACAAAATAAACAATTCCCCTCTTTTTCGGATTTGCTTTGTCTGTTGTCTTCTCTTTTATTATTTTACTCTCAGAGGATTGCTAAGCAAGCAGAGATTAGATGGAAGCTTTTCAGATATGTCTTTCAATTTGTCTTTCATTTCACATCAGATATTTATTCTCTATCCAGCAAAGATTAGCAAGAATTTAGGCCAGCTCAGTAAAATATGGATTCCATGTCTTCAGCCAAAACGCAATCCGGATGTGATCTACAATTGGCTACACTAAGAAGAATATATCGAGCTGAAAATTAATTGCTTTGAAGTATTGGATTTATTTGGTTAAGATTACAGTGTAAATGACGTGCTATTATTTTAACTTTGTTGTCGAGAATCAAGGCTTTGTGTGAGTGAGAATGTTTAGCAGGATAACGACTACAGTGATTTTTTAAAAATACAAAGATGCTAATAAGGAGTGAAAGTTTTCCTATGAAATGAAGTCGCTTTTGTTATCAGTTATCAGTTATCTCCTGTTAATTCCTCTCACCAAGTTCTCCACTGCCTTAACCGGGTATTGAACTCACAGTCAAGGACACATGGCACAGTGGATAAAGGCGTTGGCTAGATCTAGTGACAAGACCCAAAGAGTGTGAGTTCAATACCTGGTTAAGGCAGTGGAGAACTTTCAGAGGGAAAATAACTGATAACTGCCATTAAATGTGGAACGTGGAACTAGAACAGTCTACCCTAGTGAGCGAAATAAAGGGTTCAGTTCGACATTACAACCACCTTAAGAAGGCCTGAGCGTACAACGGTCGAAACGTTGTAATATATATGGCGACAAAGATGAGGACAATACTCTGAATAATGAAATAGTTTGCTTATTTAGATTGTCTGTTTGGTACGTAGACTTTGGGAATTTAAGTGCAATATTAGATTGATGACAAGATCTCACCAATTTACAGTTGAAATGGCGAGATAGAAAAGTGAAAAGGTTTTTTAAATTCTTACAGAATTTTTCTGGTTTGTTCCGTTTTTCCTATTACAATGCACTTCTGAATTCCTGTGAAATGTTCTGTTCTTGCTTTATTTTAATGTCACCAATTCGTAACTCGCATCATGGGTTTTTCCTCTTGCCAATGGACATACATTCTGTCTCCTTACATTATTTACTACCTTACCTTCAGGACGTTGGAGATTATGGCTCTCCACACTTTCCTGTCCTTTGTAGCTCTTTTCACAATAGTTCGAATAATGTAAATAGTGTACATAATACCTCATCTCAGAAATATAGACAGATATCTAGCTTAGTTTCTAAAAGACATATTTAATCATTCATATTTACTTTCCGATTTCTATCAATCCCTACTATACCAACCAGATAGTTAAAATAGACATCTGCTTGATTTTAATCTTCCCCGTATGTATGTCTCACACTTTGAATTGTCTCTACTGTTGTCTAACAGTTAGTAGTCCATTCTCCTTGTTTTTGTCAATTAACACCCAAAACAACGAGATTTCAAAACTTAAGTAATTCAAGTGAAAGTTCAGGCCACACATTAGAACCGGCGATACCGAGAATGGCCGAGGAACCGGATCTAATCCTCGGTTCAATAATCCTCCTCAGAGGTGATGGATAACTGTGTCAATTATATCGCTAGTACATGTGAAACAGGTCACGATTGATCGGTGCGCTGTCGTCGTCTTCGTGCCGTCACGCGGGTGGGCACCCTCGTCGACCGTTACGTGTCGCGGCGCATTAGACTGAGACCGATGCGCGTCATTCCGTCCTCTCGTCGTAATCGCAATCTGCGTGTGGCGACGGCGGCGAGGCCAAAGGCTGGCGACGCGCTTCACTTTGGTGTCTCTAGATAATTCACTGGTCAATCTGTTGGCTTCTACACCTGGCGACGGGTCTTTCGAGGGTCCGCCCTATCAACTGTCGGTTCGATTCCGGAGAGGGAGAATGTGAAACGGTTATTGCATCCAAGGAAGGAAGTAGGCGCGTAAATTACCCACTCCCGGCGCGAGGAGGTAGTGACGAAAAATATTCACGGCGAAGTTTAGGAGCCCGTCCGACCGACCGACCGACCGATCGACAGACCGACTGCTTCCCTGTTAATCGCGTGTCATCAACACCCTCTGCTACTCTACCTCCGGGCTCGGTGTGCTAGACACGCATCATTGTAATGCCAGCTGTTTCCCTAGGTAGCTGGGTTCCTGTCGGGTGAACGCGTTCGTTTCCGTTTACTGCGTTTCCGTTTTTCTGTTCGCTTCTGGTGCATCCCTGTTTGTCGCCTACGAATCTTGTTTTCCTTTCAATTTCCCTTTTGCTTTTCAGTCAGCATCGTGTCGATGCCAATAGTGAAAGTGAAAGTGAAAGTGACCTAAAAAGAAATCGTTGAACAAGAAATCCAGGACAGTTGCCGGTTGAAAAAAAGCTTGCTTCTCTATCTTACGAAGCGGCATCTGTTCGTTGTCGTTGCCGACTTTGATGACGGAAACGGAACTTGTGTCAAAATTATCAAATTTGTCAAATTATAGAAAGCTATGTATCACTCACAGAATATGCATCAACTCTTATTTATAGCTTACCATTTTTTTAGATTCCAGATGCATTTCCTTCCAGGCCAGGATTTTCCGAAACTTTCAAAGCTTCAACGATGTTATTAGTTCTCTGAATGAATATTTATTTGAAAGAAAAAGGACAACATGCTGTCAAGATGGAATCCATAAGTAGAAAATCGTAATGTCTATCCATCTCTCGATGTATAAAGTTGTAGCTTTTGTCTGTTTGTTATCGAACTCCTCCAAGGGTTTTGGTGATATACCTCCATAACCATATATATTCTCTAACTACATTACCCAGGGTACTTGTATAATTATATTTTATTTCAATCAAAGGGGGTCCCAGGGGGTGGGTGACGCACAACCACTCCAGTGAAAAGTTTTTTTTTTCCTTTGATATAGATTAAATTTAAATTTGAACAAGGGAAATACTCCTAGATTACTTGGATAAGTGTTATATATTCCTGTTTGTAATATATCTGTGTTATTCCATACCTGTGTTCGCGTTCTTCTTTATTGGTTCTACCTTGGACTATCACCCGGGGTACAAGGAACCGGACCATAACAATAAGTATATTTCATTTTGATCAAAGGGGATCACCCACTGAAAATTGTTTTCTCTTTGATTTAAATTAAATTTAAATTTGAAGAGGAGAATGACCACTATCCAAATTATAGAAGGAGAAATCCAGAAGATGGAGGTCTTATCGGCAAGATCATTGAGTAATATTGAAATGCATCATTTTTTCCCACAATTTGAAACAATGATTTAAAATCAATCATCATTTTCTTACAAAAAAAAACAAAAAAAAAAAAAAAAAACAAACAAAAAAAAACATGAGACCTAGCAAGGCGCTGGTAATTCGACTAGTATATATATAATTTTAACAATATAAGATGTGCTGATGACACTGTGTTAATTGTAGACTCATACTAGATCCGGCAACAACGGCTCTGATCGGGAGGTTTTGAGGAGCGTGGAACCACCTGTTAATTTCTGTTGTGCCCGGATACACTCTGACCCAGGGTGGTAGCACCTGCTAGGGTCCCAGGGTAAATAGTCAAACACCTAACTGGGTAAATTTTAAAAGTAAAAAATACCAACAATACACTCAGATGATATTTGTAAATAAATTTTACATTTCAGAATAAAATATCAACATACACTGAATTTTACACTGGAGATATGGATAAACAAACAAAATTTTACAAACTGAGAACTCAGGAAGAATTACAGAGACAAACAGAATTTTTACAAGAAACTCAGAGGATACACAGAATTTTACATTCAGGGGATTGTCTGAATTTTACACTCAGAAGACACACTGAATTTTCCAAGAATTAGAAGGGTACACTTTTTAGAAAATACAAACAAATGTTAAAATACTCTCAGGGATACACTGAATTTTACCGTCCAATGGATACTTGAACCTAAAGAATTGAATTTTACACTCAAGAAGATACAACAGAAAAGATTTTATGAGTTTTACACTGGGAATACACTGAATTTTACACTTTGGTGATACACTGTACTTTACACTCAGAGGATACACAGAATCTTACACTCATAGGATACTCTGAATTTTACACTCCGAGGTTACACTGAATTTTACTCTCAAAGGATACACAGAGCAAGAGTTTACAATCAGCACTGTGTCATATCTGATGTTATCAATATTATATATATTGATACACTTGACGTTTTCGTCTTTTGGTAGTGTTATGGCTAAAAGCAATAATCGTCAATGCGAAGTTAAATATCAACTTAGACTGTTTGGGTCCATTTCTTAAAATCACCATCGGCAAAGACATCGATCTAAATCAGCGCAATCACAAAGTTTAAATAGAAAATCAGATTTTGTGAAATTAAACGTAGGCGTAGGAAAATCCCCAATCTCAAACTATTCTACTTTCTGTCACATAATCAAACGTGATAATGCAAATTTTAGAAAGCTATGGAGAGCCACAACCTACGTTCTGAAGGCAAGTGGCATTAAAAATCACATGTTTAATTTGATTTGAGTTTAATTTGAATTGCGTGTCTAACTATAAATAAACACTCAATAAAGTCGCAATACTTGAAAGCGACACCAGATAGATTGCATAGACATAGAGAGAGTGAGAAATAAGAATAGAGGTGTGACATAATTATTTCATCTTTTATGTGTCGTATTCTTTCAGGCAAATGTTGATAATTTCCTCAAAGATGAAGAAGAGACTCGAGGCGACAGAGATGTGGTTCTACAGAAGGATGCTAAGGATATCATGGACCAAGCGTGTGAGCAACGATGAGATCTTAGAGAGGCTGCCAACAAAGAGGAGGCTTACACTTAATATTAGGAAGAGGCAGCTGAAAATTCTGGGGCACATAACGATGAAAGAGGGCCTGGAGAATCTGAGACTCACGGGTCGAGGAGAGGGAAAGAGACACAAGGTAAAAACAACGCCTGACATATCTGGCGGGCTTAAGTAAGTGGATGAAAGAATGTGGTCTGCGTGAAGAGGCAAGCGAAAGGAACTTGCTGAGAGCTGCAAAGGATAGAAGAAGATGGAGAGCCATGATCGCCTACATCCTGAAATAACATGGCACATAAAAAAAGATCCTTCCAGGACGTAATATTCTATGGATATCCACAACTTCTTATCATTTTTCGCTCATAACAATGTTTGATATTTTTACTATTCCTCTAGTAGTCTTTTATGATCCCTTATTATGCAAGCTATTATACAATTGAGAATCTTATTTATAAACACCCGTGCAATTTCAAAGATGTCAGCTAGGATATATAATTATCTAATGTGCATGAATTGTATAAGTTTGATTCGGAATATCGCATCGCCATCTTTTGCATGCTCTTTGGCAAGTTTTAGAAATGTCTAAAGTTTATTCAGCTTTTTATTTCATGTCAAATGCAGCGGGTCGTTAAGAAGGCCTTGGGAAAAAAAACGTGTGTCAGAAAAATGGGTTCTGTAAGCACAAATCGAGACGGACATCGGTCAGAACTTAAATTTTTTAAGCGATCTGGGAAAGGTCATTTTTTACTAAATGGCTATTTGTGAATATTGCTGTGAGTCGTCAAGATAACCTTCAGCATAGCGTAGACTGAATCATTACTTCGGAAAGCGTTTTTTTCCTCGTTTTATGGCATTCAATGTCAATTCTTTATTGAGATGAAGATTTGTTCTACACGCGAGTTGATCTCCAAGCTTATCAAATTCAGACTATTATTTGCTTCGTTCCAAGACAAAAACATGCATCGAACAAAAAACTTCAATGATTATTGAAAGATAATTTAGATCAAAATGGCGTCCGCCGACAGAAATTTAAAAAAAATTCTGATGAATTTATATGAAGAAAGTTGAAACTTTTGTATCAACATCGTAATATAATAAATATATTGTATTTAATACCCCAATAATTAAAAAACACTACCTAATATACAATATTTTTACACTCTAAAACAAAAACAAAACGATAGTAATAGAAAGTGTTCAATTCCTTAAATAAAGCAGAGCAATTAATAAAGAATTAATTAAAAGGCATAATTCAATTAATGAAAGACAGCAAATAATACAATGTAAAATTTTTTACTGGAAGAAAAGAAAATTGGCAGCTTGGCTGCAAATGGAGAGACAAGTGCAATTGCTCATTCGATGGGAAACACCTAGTAGAAAATATTATATATGAGGCAATAATGAAATATGAGCAGAATGAAAAGATTTATAGTAGATCACCTACCGGACCGTTGAAACAAGGATATAGAATCCATAAAATGTCCTTTAAACTGGATAAATATAAGAACAGATTATCTTTCTTCGATTTTGAAAAGAACAAGGTAGATAGGAAAAGGAAAGTATATTAAAAATGAGAAAAGATTGATCAACATCTGCTTATTGTCAATCCATTTAAATGACAGTTAATGCTGGACAATATCCGTACAGATGAAGCAGATAATTGAGGCAACAGAAACATGGTTCTACAGGAGGATGCTGAGAATACAATGGGCAGATCGTGTAAGCAACGAAAGAAAAATGAAAACAAAAAAGGCAGCTATATTTAGAATTAAACAGAGACAGTTGAAATGTTTGCGACACATAACGAGGACAGAAGGTTCAATTTAACACTCGCATGGCATATGGAAGGCAAGAAGAAAACAACGCGCTTGTATAAATGGATGATAGAACATGGAAGGGAAGATAAAAAGACAAAATTTATTTAGAGCTAAAAAGGATAGGAAGATTTGGAGAACCATGAACGTCCCGACTCTCCAGAGACTCCGTTTCCGTATTTTCTGTGAATTGCCATTCATTCTTGGGAAAGATGGTGGAGTGGTTCCCGCTGCCTTCTCCTCTCTTTGGAATTTAGAGTTTTCTTCTATTAAACTGATTGTCATGGAAGGCTACACATTCTAGTATACCCAAATACTTCACTGGTTGCTAGAGGAGGAGAGACAGATTCAGGCAATTCGCAAGAGCATTTTTGCGAAAGTGAAAACGACTCGCCGATTTTATTTTCCGTCACATTACCCGCACACTACGCGTTAAATGCAATTTTTACAAAAAGAAGAAAATGCAAAATCCAAGAGAAGTCAATTGAGATGCAATTCATTTGGTTCTTTTCTTGGAATTGGCAGGAGCTGTGAAGAATCATTGACAGGATTGCTATCTTGCAGATTTCTCTGCAAATTCTGGCGACAAATGTCACCTACAATTTTTGCATAGCTCCCAATCGCAAATCCGTAGACATTACCAATCTATTTGAACATTCTGAGAGCAGCTTTTGATATACTTGTGTTTTTGAATCTACTGTTTTAAACCTGGTGTACATATATATATATATATATATATATATATATATATATATATATATATATATATATATATATATATATATATCAATGTGTTTATTATAACAGAACATATATATATATTTACAAACAAAATTAACTCACATGGGTATAGTCAAGCTGGTCCGACCCTAGACGTCTTAAGCCCTTAAGTGTCTGTCTGGAATTTGGGTTTTGAACTTATTTTTGATATCTTCCTACGGGAAGTGATCTGGGGTTGGAGTTAATTTATGGTTGGAGTCCTTCTTTGTCTGTAAATAAATTTCGGTTCCTACTATGGGGTTCTATCTTATGCAAGCAACACGTGTGTTTTACTGGGATTTACAGTAAATAATATTTAGATGATAAGGGTTTAATGTTATTAATAAGTGATGGCGGATTTAAACATAAAACCAATTACACCCTCCCCCAGTCGCCAACACAAGCCTCTTATAAAAAAAACAAAGCGTCTCTCAGAGGAGAACTGATATCGAAAATAAATTCAAACTCCCAAGCTTGAAATAGATCATAGCCATGTGTGGTAATTTGGGGTTTTGTTCTAATATATATATATATATATATAATCATATTATATGCACATAAAATTTTAACCGATTTGGCCACAGAGGAGCGTTCGGTTAGCAAGGTCGATTTTACTGTCTTTAAACTACAATCTTCCATGATTCTCTCACGTACATTCATATCTGCTCATGGCGTATCCAAATGTAAACAAATGACGTCACACATTATGAAATAGGCAAAGTCAGACAATTATTTTAAGACGTTTTTATGTTTATACATTCTTTTTATAGATACAAATATTTAAGTAAATGCTCTGTTTATAATAAATTTATATAAACAGTTAAAGGGACGTCAGGCTATGTGACGATTCCATATAGGATACAGGTTCGATTCCTGTCGGAGGATGAATATTTTCTCTGATTATTATTTCTCGGACATTCAGGCTGGTAAATGTTGTTTAATACTGTTTATTACAAACAAAGCATTTACTTAAATATTTTTATCTATAAAAAGAATGTATAAGCATAAAAATGACTTAATAAAACTGTCGGACTTTGTCCATTTAATATATATATATATATATATATATATATATATATATATATATATATATATATGATATATATATATATATATATATAAAAAAACAAAAAAAATCCTAAATGTAGTTAAAAGGATTTTTGTTTGTTTTTTTCAAAATTTTTTCTTCATTCTGTCGGATTTATATCCATTTACACTTGCTTATATATATATATATATATATATATATATATATATTATAGGCACGTAATTTTGCCATTTTGAAGGAACCCTATTCAACAGCTTTTGTTTGAAACGTTCGTAATAAACATAATAATGTTGGTGCCTTTTCCATTAACATTTCTACTTTTTGTTCGCATGCAATCATTATGCTGAGCACTGGTGAATTAATTTCATGCGAAATCAATTTTCCCAAACACTGATACAATGCGAAATTTTAATGTTTACATTTGAATATGATTAATACGGGCCTCCATAATTATTGTTCGTCTTTCAGTTCGGGTGAATTAGTTTTATGGTATTATTTTTTCGGACTACTCACGTTTAAATAAATCTAGTTCGCAACATAAAAGAAATTCCTACGAAAGAGCTTATGTAGAATTCAATAAACTGATTCAACTTAACTCAATTCCATCGCCTTTGAAAATGATATCCTTTCGATTCATCGAACGGAGGCTGTAACATTTTTTTCTGCCTGAGTGTGTCACTTACAGCCTAACACGGTGAGGGTGCGTCCCTATGTTCCACAAGGGTGTTTACAAAGTGAACATGTAAGATATATAGATCTGTTGAACGTTAATTAAGACGTTGGAGCGTTGAAAATAATTCTTCTCCAACAAGGACTCGGAGAAGCTTTTGAGCTCTATCAAAATTGGAAAGTGAGGTTTGGGCAGCTTCTGCCCAAATATGGCAATCAGGGCCGGATTAAGATCCATAAAGGCCCTAAGCACTTAAAAGATTTTCGGTCCCCATACACCTGCTAGTTAAATATGCTAACATGGAGTGTCGGTAAGTAGTGCAAATAAATAAAGGCTATCAACCAAGAACGTGCATCGTGGAAACGCTAGCTGGAAATGAATATAGAATGAACCGAAGGCACATACGACCATCAAGAGAGGGTGACCATCAGTTCCAATCCAGAACAACACCAACCAAGAAAGAAGCAGTCACAGCTGTGCAGCCATTGTCAAATGAGCCACGACCAGATTCTAACAGAACTGTGTCATTAACAAACAAGCGTGTTACAGAATCGTATAAA